GTCTTTTTCGGTTATTGTCGTTATGACTAATATAGTCGTGCTCACTTTAATTATCCACTTAATTAGAGCCACAATTTTGTGTGGAGATATCATGTCACTTTTGTCAACTACTTCCAATAGATCTTGCCCTTGAAGATAAATGGTATGCAAGTTTGTCATTTAGTATAATTTTTGGTTATTGAGCTTTTTCATTACGTCTACCACTTGTAGGTTGTTCATCTTGACTTAATTTACATCTTCGTAATCAATAAAACTTTATAGAACCTTCTGAATCTCCCTTTATGCACGAACTCTAAAAATTCGTCTATGATTGATACGCTCTAATATCAAATTGTTGAATTTAAATATTAAAGAAACAATCTAATTAATGAAAATTTTGTAATATTTAAATACACACACACTTAGCAAAGTTCGTGAATTGGGCTTCCTAAGTTCTAGATGATTCTATCGAGGATGGTGGAGGTAAATTAGTCAAAAGTAGTAGTAATGAAGTATATAAATCCTAGCACCGGCACCTTCAAGAATTTTCTTCAACGTTGATGATCTTTTTCACTTGTATGAGTTGTTTCTTTCCAGTACACTGAGAATTTAAAGGAAATGTACCATAGTTCAGTGTAAGCATTTATAATATTTATTTCTGTATTTTATAAGTAAAAAAAAGAATAATCTTGATTTGATATTGATATATATCTTTTATTTATAATATTAGTGTAGAATAAGCTTTTTTTTTTTGTTTTTCTCTTTCATTATTTTATGCTAGTGGTTGAGTGAAGGTACCCCTGTAGATATGGTAAAAAAATTCATTCAACCTGATACCCGTGGAAACCCACATCAAATGGGGCGGAGATTACCCGCCTATTCATGTAAACGAGATGGGAGTGGGATGGGGTACGTAGCCCCGAAGTGGGTATGGGGCAGGTACGGGAAAAATGATCCCTACCCCATTTAAAGTTTACTTCAAATTTAATTTTTTTATCAAACAAAAAGAAAAGATTGATCGTAATTTTTAAAAAGAACACGAGTTCTTAATTAATTGAAAAAAAAAGAAGTAATAATACTCACTAACTAAAAAACGTAAAAAATAAAACTAAAATATAAAATAAATAAATAAATGGGCGCGATAAACTGGGTAGGGGACCTGCCCCATCCCGTCCTAATCACACCTCGTCCCGTTTTAACCAGGTATGGAGTGGGGGAATGTGACAAAACTATCTGATGAGGTGAGAGTGGGAACGGTCGATGCATCCTATACTAGTCATGTTGACATACCTATACCCATGTCATCTCAATGGATGCAACTTGTTAATGACTAATCATTTGGAGATTTAGATCATGTTCAAAACTAATTTTGACCACACATTTTATGGAACACATAACTTTTCAACCACACATTTCATCAACTTTTATCAAAATCTACTCAAAATCTACTAAAAATCTGATTTTGATTCTTATCAAACAAAAACTTATTATATTTTCTAACTCGAGATTTGTTACGATATAGACTTACTATTCTATAAAATGGAGATTTTATATAGCAGCTTGAATAAGTGCTATAAGTAGTATTTCACTAGACCTTGTCACTTCAGTGGCTCTCCCTAGACGGCCAAGGCCACATATATGTGCTATAGGTAGGATTTTACTGGACCCTATCACTCTAGTGGCATCCCCTAGAGCCCTGGCCTTTTGGCAAAATCCCTAGAGATATGGCAAAATACCCTATTTCCCGTCCTACTCCATTGGGAATCATGTATGGGTAGAGAACATGTCAAAGTACATTGTCTCTGCCTCACACTATTGTCATCCTTAATGTGCTTCTAGGTTAGTTTTCTATTTGGCACCTGTGGCTCTCATTATTTGAAATTATAATTTTTGAAATCATATTTTTTGGAGAATATGTGGTTAAAAAGAATGAAAATTTTTCGATTTACATGTAATATTATTTTATTGAAGAACGTGTGATTGATAAGAAGAGAGAGAAAAATGAATTATAAATAAATTAAATAAAAATATATCAATCTAAATTCATCCACTAATATTTATTTTCATTATTCTTTCAAATCAACTTGTAAAACATTCCACCTGCCGTTCAGAGAGATTCAGCATGAAATTATTACATGGTTGCATGAAGAAATATTACCTGAAATTGCACGCTTAGCATTGGTGGAAGCAACAATTATTGAACAAATCAATAGCTCCAAATCTGCTATTACAGTTTTCGTTAATATTTTTTTCCCCCGTTTTTGGTTCATCCCTTTAATTATTATTTGTCTTGTTTAATTTTTCCATTTAACTTAGTTAGTTGGCTGATTACTTCGGGGTGAACACCGATGCCTTATAGGTGAACGAATCCTTTAATCCTATAAAATCCAATTCAACACACAATTTAAGGAATTTTTTAACGAATAAAATCGATAGTTTGAAATTTATCTAAAAATTTCTTTGATCTTAGCCAAGTATCTATTAAATCAACGGATTCAGGATCAATCATTATTATTCATCATGTTTCAATTCAATTCCTATATGTCAACATCTTATTTAGAAGTGAAAAAAAAAAAGAAGAAAAAATTAAACAAGTTCAATTTTGTAACTTACTCTATGTTCGATTTTATAATTTTTGGTATATATAATTAATTTTTATATTATGAGAAGGTTGATGTTATATGTGACGGGGATGAATATAGTATTTTTTTTAAAAAAAAATTAAATTGGAATGAGGATAGATTTAGAGTGAACTAGATATATAAAAATGGTATGAATGTATAGTGTTTAAATGAATTAATTTAATAGGACAATATTGGAATATGATGCGGATGAAAATTTTATTTTTTTTAAACATTTTCAATAGGGACAGATATAGTGTGTGATATATATAATACTGATGAATGTAAATAATGGCTTTTTTTAATTTTAAAATAACGCCATCTAGAACCTATGATATTATTGCACCGATTTAAGTTGATACATTTGATATAATTAATTAAATGAATCATGTGATATTACATTTAAGTGAACATATCATTTAATGTTGAAAAATGCTATTCATCCCCAATCTATGTGAATGTAAATGATTGGTTAAATGATAGGTAAAATTAAATGACTTATTTAATTTCACCTATCATTTAACGTCACATTAACGCCACATAGACTGGAGATGCATCCTCATTGGGGATGAATAGCATTTCTCTTTAATATTATGAAATTACTATCTAAATTGGTGCTTAATACAAGTATTTAATAGCATTACTTTTTATATATTTTTTGAAAATTCCCAACAATCCACATTGTCAAGACCCAAAATTACCAACTAATTTAGGGCATAAATGTATGGCCCGATTACACATTGACAATTGTCGAAAGAAGGCCCAAAAGTTTGCTATGGACCTAAAACTAGCCTAAGATCTAACTTGAGAAAGGCTTCCCCAAACGGTAGTCCAAAGTGAAAGAAACAAAAAGCAAGAACACACGCCAATGATTACTCGAGAAAATCAGGCAAAATCATGATTTTAAGGTTTAATTATTATTAATCAAATTATTCAAAAAAGGTCTCAAGTGTTAATTATATAAAATATATTTTAATAATTCTAAAACTATATTACCAAATAATATAGATTTAGCAAGTGATTGTTCGCTCAAATCAAAATAGTTAAATTCCAATTCAATTCTCGATACTTTGGATGTTGGGAGCTTAAGAAAGAAAACTATGGATGAGAGGATCCATTCGTTGTCCCAAACCGTAAGCTCTAATGTGCCCAAACCATAATTATTATGAAAGGGGCAATCTAGACATTTTCACTGGCAGAGGGCATTATGATTTCTCCAATAGAAAACAAAAGATACTTAAATTTGGTATTTTCTTATTAATTTATCCATCTATTTTTATTTAGGCCAATGTAGAGGTGTCAACCCAATATTAGATGTCCCGACTTTTGCCTGGAGCATGCTTATCTTATAGGCATGTTGTATGTGCTAAGCCTAAATAAATATATGGTTTTACTACTTGTACATCGGGGTTGACAGCCTCTTCACAAATGGGGGGCCTACGTGCAAACCAAAAAATCGTGGGCACCCATTTTGTGATCGGGACTATACGCCAAGCGATGTACAAGTAGTGAAACCTATAATTCTATTGCTAGCAAAAAAGAACCCATCCATACAAGCAAAGGGAGTTTTTTTCCTTTTATAAAAATCAATATGACGGGTCAAGAACTCCTATAATTGAGTTGAACCAACTAGTCTATGAAACTTGACCCAACACATTTTAACGCATCCTACTCTTGATTTTATTGGGTGGAAATTACACAACACCAAGCATTTAAAGATAACAATTGAAAAATCTGGTGTAAAGTTTACTTGAACAAAACGCAGATGAATTAAAATTAAAATTTTTCTTTCATCTCTCACTATCACTCTCTCTATCTCTATCCCCAATATAATCTCCGACAACGTCTATCTACTATCCATACTCTCCGACGATCAATTGGAGATAAATTGCAAAAAGGAGTTCCAAAAGCAACTAAGTCCTTTATAAATGTCGATATCAAGGTTTGGGTACTAATTGTGTTAGTGGTGGTGGTGGAGTGGGGTGGTGATTGTGGTTGTGCTTGAGATGGAGATGGAGGAGGTGATTTTGTGGTGGTTTTATGGTTTTTTTTGAGGTCGTTTTGTGGTGGATTTTGAGGTGGTGGTAGTGCTGGCGATGGTGGTGCAAGTGGTGGTTTTGTTGGTTATAGTGCTGATTTTGGATTGAGTTGGATTTGTATAAACTGATTTCCTCCCTTTCACGACAAATGTACAATAGTAGTAGTCATTAAAATATGCTCTACAATATATTTATACTCGATATTGGATGGTATGTGTGTACATAAATAAAGTAAGACTGGCTGGCTTCAACACTTTCAATGCAAATGTGGGCAAATTTTTTCCAAGTTATTCATCAAGCGTCCATAGGACCTAAGGACCATAGCTCAACAGGGGAAATCCATCATTATCTTCGTACAAGATCAAGGAGCACATATGGTCCAAGTAGAAGGAAGCCTGGTCGAAGTCAAAGGTGGCATCTTACGTACATTTACATCATGAGGCAGCAAACGGCATTCAATATCAAGCTCACAGAAAATTTTAACCATCTCCTCGACCAGAAGGGCTCTCCTTGTCCATCTTTCACCCATATCCTGATGATTTATTGTGTGAGAAAGCCATACCGACCATTTTAGCGTGTTCATATCCTCTACGTCTCTCATGACTATTAGTGGAGCCGGATACCAATGATCACTCCTACTTCCTACATATCTGCATTGGCCATAACACCATAAAACATGACTGATATCTCATGTTAATTTACGATTAGTATAGAGATGGATAGCTTGTGCAAAGCAAGACTGAAAGCATGTTCTACTAAGCCCAAAAAGCTAAAAGTAATTTTTGAGAAGTATAAAACTAAAAGGAGTAAGCTTTTGAACTAAAAGTTACTTATACTTTTTCTAGCAAACATGTTCGGCAAAAAAAAGTAAAAAAAATAACTTTTTAGCTTAGAGCATTGTTTAAGAAATATATATATACATAATATTTTTCTTACTTTAAAGCAAAAAAAGTAAAAGTAATTCTTACGTACCATGAAAATAAGAAATCACTTCCTTGTTTCCATGTCAAAAAATTATCATTTTTAGTGAAACATGCACTTGCTTTGAGGTACATGAATACCAGGAAAAAATGATACAACAATATTGTACCTTGTTATTCTCTCCTTCATCGTTGCAATCTTCTCCCCTGGAGTTGAAATGTGGATAACAAAATCAATTGCATCACCCATATCTGGACTGCGATAGTAATTACCGATGAACTTTGTAGATAAGACACTGTTTGGATAATAAATCTTTTGGTTATCGAACCTCAGAAAAACTGTTGTCAATATGTTCATCTCTTCGACTACCATCTGAATAAATTAAAATGAAAATTATACAAAGCACAAACATAATAATAATCATGATGGAATATGCTCACCCATGCAGATTCTTATACAAAAGAAAATAAATTTGCTTAAATCTTACCTGAACTTCATCAATTTCAACACGATCTCCCACATCAAACGGGTGCATCACAAATAAGAAGATAATAGCCTCAAACGTTGTCTTGCACGTGTTCCCAAACACGAACACAACCAAAATAAGCTGAGAGCTTAAGAAGATAAAAAAATGCGTGGTTGCAACTTTGAGTATAAGGAGCCAGATGATAATTATGACTAGTCCCACAAGGGCATTCAGTATTTGGTGCAGTTTGTTGACAGCGGTTTTTGTGTCATTCAAAGATAAAGCTAGGGCTCGCCTTTCTCTATATGCATTGACCTGTAGTATAAGAGATAGGAAGTACTATAATAAATTTTTTTTTGAAGTAATATAAAAGTTGAGAATACATTTATATTTCGCTCTTCCCATAATGGATAGAACTATAGTCTTCAATGAAGCCTAAAAGATAATGCTGATTTTATTACTATTATTATTATTATTATTATTATTATTATTATTATTATTTTAACAGTTCAATAGTACCATCTAACAAGTGATGCTTCCTCCAACTTCCAAAATACACTTTTCTAATGTCAATCGGCGTTAGGCTGTTGAGCCCAAGCACAAGCAAACCCACCCTGCTTGAGGTTTTTAGGGTAGAGCTCCCAAAGCAAATTTTTATTCTGGGATAATATTTAGTAGTCCACACATTTATTAGGTCACCAAAAATTGAACTTCATCTTCGTTCCCCCCTACAAAATGGTCTCAAAGAAATATTATGATACACATTTTATATCATGAGAGAATGTCTACAAGAGATTATTTTTTGACACGGACTGAGTTGGAGAGAGAAAATGAAATTAAACCCTCATTCCAAACTTATATGAATGAACCTCCATTATTGTCAAAATCCAAATATTCCCACACCCATTCTTCTTCACCCAACTGTTCCTTTTAGCCAGTCCCTGCTACTCCTGTGCCCTCCCCCATAAATTACAGGTATGCATTCCTATAGCCATGGACAAGAAAGTAATGCCCCTTAGATGTATTTATATGTATCTCTCATCAGTCCACAAAATCACGCTGTGACAATGGACCAGACAGAACTTACTCACAATTTTGAACTGATGATAAGATCCCAAAAGAAAAGGGGTAAAAAGGATATAATTTTACTTACCACCCAAATTTTAAGAGCTCGTTTGCTTATCCCCTTGTTTTCATTTGCTCCTTCAAAGAGGCGCGTGGTCTTCAAAGCCTCATCCTCTCTCATAAAGCGCATCAAATCCTCAAGGTAAATGAATCTAATCACAGAAGACAAGCCATCAAATCATACAGTTTACATAAATAAATTGGAATCAACAGAAAACTGAACTTCATAAAAGCATGTAAATGCTAAAACTGAAGTTGGACTTTCGGTAAATAGATCGTGTGCTATTCTACATTTTTTTAAGTGATTTTTGGAGTTTTCGGCTGTTTGGTTCAAATGGGAACCTTCAATCAAATATCCTAGGTCAACTGCAATGAGTGTTATAACCTTGATAATATACTTTGCACTTTTTATTGCTTAAAGAATGTCAATGTTGGACTAATCTGTGGGTCCATGCACCCAAGCAATGGAATGAACATAATGACAGTATAATTTCAAATTGCCAAGCAAGAGAATAAATGAATAAATTTGGAAGCAGAACTTAAAAAAATTAACAAGTTGCTGTTAATTAACCAAGTTAAAATCAAAAACTTCATGGACAAAAAACTAACTCTGATCCAGGATTCACCACATTGTAGAAGATCTTCTTGGCTGCAGCTTTTGCCTGTTTTTCACTAGTTATCTGCACGGCTGACTCATCCTCATCAGTTGAACCCTCTATTTGCTCGCTCAGAGTGGATAATACACCTTTCCGAACAATATTAATCAGCCTCTTCATATTCCGAGCTGAAATATTCTTCTGGTTCAGCCTGTGCAAATGATCAATTGTTATACCTCCCTCATCTTCCGTCTTTGACGTTATCCCAGAAAACACGTGACTCTTTGCACCTGTAGCCATGGGACTCTTCCCAAACACTTTCCCAGTTTTGGGAAACACACTTGCCTTAAGATTGGCCCTGATATCCACCCCAGCACGCTGAAGTTTCTGTACTTCAGCTATCACCTTCTCCTCTGCTTGCTCGTGCTGAATCTCAATCAATGGTGGACCAGACAGTGTCTCAATGACATACTGATGAAACAAAGATTCCAGAATCCGTTCAAAAAATGTGCTGACCTGAAACGAGGATGCTAAAACCTTCACGAGCAAGGTCTTGACCAACCAAATCAATGTCCCAACCAATAGACACACCCAAATCTTAGTCACGTAAGGCAAAACTTTCCCATGCATAAGTCTCACAACCTTCTTATCGAAAATCCATTGCCAAGCAATCAAAACCAAAGCCAACCATATACAGTTCTGCACTGCATTTCTCAACCCATAAATAAAATACAAAACCCGTTTTCGCAGCAAAAAATTCCTCTCAAAGAAGAACACAAGAATTCTAATCCCCCACCCTGATACCAATCTTCCAAAAATCAAAACCAAAATCATCAATTCCCATTTCCATAATTGCAAATTGAAAATTTCCTTATTCTTCAACATATCAATAGTTAAAATACAAACTAAAGCTGCAATAATCAGAACCAAGCTCAATAGTTGAAGAATCGAAAGTGCACTGAACTTCATTTTCTTGTAATCCTCCGGCAAATCTTCATCTCGAAAAGGGTCGTCTTCATCGATTTCACTTCCTTTACCTAAAAACAGAGATTTTGCGGTTCTCTGATTATAGGATTTTTTATTGTTCTCCGGCGGGTCGAATAATCGGGACTTGGTTTTGGTTCTAAGCAAACTGGAATTTCTCCGGAAAGATGAGTTGGAGCTGCAGACCAGAACCTCCTCCAGTTCGGCGTTGGAGCTGCGCTTTGAGCCCCGAACCGCTGCCGTCTCCGCCGTGTTGTCGTTAAACGGGACGCGGACCTCCCTCGGAATCCTCTGGCCGTAGTTGGTATTCACACTCTCTGCTATACGAGATAAGGGAGGCTCAGTCACAAAACCGAAATCCTTGGTGTTCGCGGCAGCACTCATAACGGCGTCGTTTGATAAATCGTAACTCGAGTCCCTCAACATTCTACCGGCATTAGTAGTAGTACTAGTATTTTCGCTGGTTTTAGTTGGTTCCTTGGAGGAATCCTTGCCGTCGATTTTGACGATAACTTCTTTGGGTGAGGAAGGAGCTGACGATGAAGGCATGGCGGTGCCGCCGGTGGAGGCAGAGTTAGTACTAGTGCTACCGTTATCCAGAGTGAAGGGATTATGGTTAACGAGGATATTTGGGAGTTGTAATGTGTGAGTGAGTGTGAAGGTGTATATATTCATCACAATAAAACTATTTGTATAAAGTTGAGTTATAAAAGTTGGGTTATAAAATTTATTGGCAAAATCTAGACCGTTGATTTCAAATGATTTAAAAATCTATTTTTAAAATGATTGGTATAGATATTATTTTGTCAACTAACTTTGTAACCCAACTTAGTACATGTATCATAACTCTATTCAACAAGTGATTTTTATTAAAAAAAAAAAATTAAAAGTTTGGAAAACATATTCAAGTGGAATCCTCCACTTAACATATACACAAGTAGATTATTAGTGGAGTGGATGCACTAATAATCTACTTGTGCGTCCATTCCACTAATAATCTACTTGTTATTAGTGCATCTATTCCTCTAATAATCTATTTGTGCGTATGTTGAGTACATGATTGGGATATTTTAGATGAGAGAAGACATCATTTACATTAATGGAAGGTAAACTCAACCGACAAAAAAATTATATATATTGAGGGGGTGTTTGGTAGTGATTTGAGAATTGATTCTCAAATCAATTTTCATTTGCAACCATATATTTTTCAATAAAATAATATTTTTTATTACATCAATAATTTTTTCTTCTTTTTCAACCACACATTTCCCATCATATCACTATTCAAAAATCAATTCTTCCCCCAAAAATTTCTACCAAACAAGCTCTGAATAATAAGTCTCAATTATTCATGTCAATATATCAATTAGTATTCTAATTTTTGAATAAGAGAGGTGCAAAAGCAAAATCATTAGCATATTCAATAAACTATTTAAACATAATATCTTTTTTATTTTAAAGTGTCAACCCTTGAAATTATATTCCAAAAGAATTTTTAAATTTGCATTTTAATTTAGAGAGTAATTATGACTCTTCAAATTTGGAGAGTCAAACCTACTCTCTATAATTAAATAAATTCAAAAGTATTTCAATTTTTAATGAAGGAAAATAATATAATAATTTGATGAGGAGGGAGAAAAAAATAATAAATATTTTTTGAAGTAGTAAAATTATTTTTTACAATGTGTTACTTGACAACACATTACTAGACAAATTTTTAAACAAAATACCCACTGCCAACAATTTTTTGAACTTCAATGAGAAGTAAATAACGTTGTCAATCAAATCATGTGCACTTAGCATTAGACTATTTTAGATTACCAACATTGGTGACGTGTCTCACTTATGCAGGATGCACATTTAAATTGGAACAAAGGGAGCCATCCTTCCATTTATTTATTTATGTGGACAGTAGTCGGCAAGACAAGACAAAAAATGTGGTGGTAGTTACTAGTTAGAATGTTATTTCCAATAAACTCTTATAATTTGTTTTTACATGGTCAATTAAGCTCCCCATTGCAAATTTTTTGCTCTTAAATTATATTTTTAATCACATCTTTTAATAAATATAAATTTTTTTTTTTTTTTTTAACTCCACACTCCTAACTACAATTTCCTATTTAAAAGACCAATTTTATTGTGGTTGAATATAATTAAAATAAAAAAAAGAATATTTTGTTCATTGCATCGTCATAAACGCTGGTCTTTAAATGTATTTAAATATAAAAAGTACTATTTGCAGTTGAATATTTCCATTTAGCAGACGAAAATTTGCTTAGCGACATTCTTCAAAAAAAAAATTGTTAATTCACATTTATATGAGCAAAATGTGATTGTAGATGTTTTTAGGTAACAAAAAAATTTTGTTGTCAACAATAAAATATTTTATTTAAATTGACCTAAAAAAAATATAATTAACAACTAATTTTGTGATCGCTAATATACAAATTTTCATTAAATTTCATTTCTTTTGTCATTGCAAATACATACATTTCATTAATTTAGATGCTAAAGTGGAATCAGCAATAAGCAAAGTTGATAAACCTAGAAGTGGATTTACCTGAGGAAATGGATAAGCAAGTGAAGTATGGGATAGACCTGGTTATGACCTCCGTAAGGTTAGTTGCGGTAAGAGAAGATAATGAGGTATGTGAGAGGAGTCAAAAGTCGACGAACTGGAGGTGGCTATAGTAATAGGCCTGTGAAAGGCCAAGCCTTTTGTCTTTTTCTTTGGACAATCAGAGATGCAGTGACCTTTTTCTTTATAATAGTGGCACTATCTGAAGGACCAATGTGGTTTAGAGAAAGCAGTCGTCGCATGTACAGTAAGGAGCTTGTGGAACAATAGCCATGACCAGATCAGTAGCATCTCCAAGAAAATGAGCTTTGTGAAAGCAACCTCAAGCGTAGGCATAGGAGAGCAATGAAGTGAAGAAGCCCTACTATGCTCAAAATCATATCGAATATTCACCGTAAAATGAATAAATTGACAAAGATCTCAATAATCAACCAAAAGCTTAATAGGTTGATTTATCATAAAATGATGAATCTAAATGAGGGTGTTGATTCCAAAGATCACATACCTTAAAGTGAACTGAACAATAGATTGACGAGGCTTTTGATGCATCTGATAAAGCTTAGATTCTAACTAAAATTGGAGAGTAACATCGCTAGAGCAATTGTATCGATTTTCTCAAAGATTCTAAGTGGGCTTGGCATTCAGAAACTTAGAGAGAAGATTATGAGTGGAAGGAACAAAAGTATTAATAAACCATTTGAATTCCTTCCCATTCTTCAAGGCGCTCATCAAACTCCTCAAGAAATGGATAAGCCAGTGAAGTATGGGATAGACCTGGTTATGACCTCCGTAAGATTAGTTGCGGTAAGAGAAGATAATGAGGTACGTGAGAGGAGTCAAAAGTTGACGAACTGGAGGCGACTATAGTAATAGGCCAGTGAAAGGCCAAGCCTTTTGTCTTTTTCTTATGACAATCAGAGATGTGGTGACCTTTTTCTTTATAATAGTGGTACTTTCCGAAGGACCAATGTGGTTTAGAGAAAGGAGTCATCACATGTAAAATAGGGAGCTAGGGAAACAATAGCCATGACCAGATCACTAGCATCTCCATGAAAATGAGCTTTGTGAAGTAAAAAAGCCCTAGTATGCTCGAAATCATATCGAACATTCACTATAAAATGAATAAATTGACAGAGATCTCGATAATCGGCAAAAAATCTTAATAGATTGATTTATCATAAAATGATGAATCTGAATGAGGGAGTTGATTCCAAAGATGACATACCTTAAAGTGAGTGAACTCAACAATAGATTGACAAGGCTTCTAACGCATGTGATAAAGCTTAGATTCTAACTAATATTGGAGAGCAACATCGCTAGAGTAATTGTATCGATTTGCTCAAAGATTCTAAACAGGCTTGGCATTCAGAAACTTGTTAAGAAGATTCTGAATGAAAGGAACAAAAGCATTAATAAAACATTTGAATTCCTTCCCATTCTTCAAGGCGCTCATCAAACTCCTCAACGGGTTTCTTTTCAATTTATGTAGGGGGTAGTTTTTCTTTGATAACAAAATGCCATAATAACCAATGAAATATTGTACATTTGTTGGGCCAAAACATTGTAGTTTGTGCCATCCAAAACAATTTCTAAGCTGAGCATTATCATTTAAAGAAGCCATAATAGAAAAATGATAACGCTGACCAAATTATTTGGTTGGGATAGGTAAGGGGCTACCGAAGATGTCGACGGCGGTGGTTGCTAAATGTTGATGGTATCGGAACAGGATATTCTTTGCACCAAACGGGAGAAGAAAATAAAGTCAGCAAGAAAACTCGAATACTATGTTGAAACTAAGAAAAAGAAAGAATAAAAGAAGCTGGGAAAAAGAGAGAGTTTTTAGAAAGGAATTATGTATTCTATTGTAAATTAAACTATACAAGAATCCATCATTCTACAGGGAAATAAAGCAAACCGAAAATGCCCAGATCACACAATATTAAAACAAGATTTAAAAACAATCATCAACTACGAAAAATAGACTTGCAGAAAATTAAAAGAACATAAGCGATTTCTTTCGACCTTAGCCTCGGAGGTTCGGCAACCACACTAACGCCTACATCCCCCATTGAGAATCCAATAAATTGAATATTTGCTCGGTTGCACTATATAGCCAAAAAATGGCAACAAGATTAGGGACTGTTCTCTTCGTGTTTCGATTTTGAGTTTTGAGTATCCATTTTAAGATTGTTGAAAACACGTTCTTTTTGTCATTTTGAAAAAAAAATTTCAAAAAAAAAAAAAAAAGATGTTTTGGCTTGGTTTTAACTGAAAACAGCAAAAACGACTTTTTTAGCATTTTTCGTTTCTTTGTAAATTTCAAACTCGTTTTTGGAAATTCGTTTCTGAAAATAGGTAATTAAACATGTTTTATGGGTTTTCAAAAATTGAAAACTGAAAATGGCATAAAAATAGCAAAGAGAACAGACCACAAACCTTTGGACAAAGATTAGTCTCCAGGGGGTTTCGGTGTATGGTAAATCAGGGAAAAAAAATCAAGAAACCCTAATTTTAAAAAATTAAAAGGATCTCACCTAGCAAGTTTATAAAAACTGGATGTCTTCATGTTTTGCCTAACAGCAGTTCCAAAATATCTTAGATTTGTAACAGATCTATCTCTTTATGCAAAGATCTAGGTATCTTGTTCTTAGTTCTTGCTCTGATACCATTGAAAAAGCATAGAAGAAGCTGGGAAAAATAGAGAGATTGTAGAAAGGAATTATGAATTCTATTGTGTATTGAACAATACAAGAAACTATCATTCTACATGGAAAGAAATTGAACTTAAAAAGGCTCAGATAACATGATATTAAAACAAGATCTAAAAAACAATCGTCAACTACGAAAAAGAATCTTGGATGAAATTAAAAGAACACAGGCCATTTCTTTCGACCTTAGCCCCGGAGGTTTGACGACCACATCTAACGCCTAAATCCCCCTTGAGCATCCAATAAATTGGATATTTGCTCGGTTGCACTATTTAGTCCAAAAATGGCAACAAGATTCTTCCAATACAAGAAATGAGTACAAAACACTTATCTCTTTCTCAATAAACTGCAGGTCTACGAAAAATCACTTAAGAAACTTCAACAAGCCT